GAGGGCGTGGTGGGGTGGGCCAGCCGGTGCCCCCGCTGAGACACCCAGAACCCACCATCACAGAGAGGTGGCTGCGTGCAAAACGCAGCCGTCACCAAGCCACCAAGCAAGGTAGTTTTTAGTATTTGTGCCCCAGAATGATAATGCCAATCATAGATTACAAGGGTTTTGCTCATACACAGTGATCTGTTTGTGCCACCTGAAATTGTCGTGTAAAGTGACATCAATTCTACAAGAAATGTACAGTGTAAAATATTCCTGTTCCCTGTTTATTTTAAAAAATGTTATTTTCATTTCCAAATCTGGCTTGTATTTGAGTCTGACCTTATTATTGCTTAAAAGACTGTAAAAATTCACAACTAAGCTAATGTTTCTGCTTAAAGCAAGTATCAGGGAAATTTCTAGTGTGAGCAGCCATGCAAAAGGTAAAAAAAGCTTAAGAATGTGAACTAATACAAGCATTGAAGTGAGTGGTGGGCTCGAATTTTATTGCATCTGCCTACGCTATTGTACTAAAACTGAAGTCTAAACCACAAGCTAAAGCTTTTCCAAATACTCAGATTCTTTTTTCTCATGCAGGCAAGAGGTTCAGAAAGCTGTATTAAATCAGCATTCCAAGCAGTTGTGACTTTGATAAGGAAAAGCGTGGGGCTTTCCGGCTTGAAATGCCTAATGACAATCTATCGGTCAAAGATGTTTGGAACTGCTGCGGAGTGGATCAGAGAAGGGGTTTAAAATGTAAAATTTCAAGCCTGTGCTTCCTGTATGGTATTCCAGAAGAGTTAGAAAGTCAAATGCTTAAATGTTTTTGTGCATTCTGGAGCAAACAAGTTTAAAATCAACTGTGGGACAGCACATGCTGCAAACTTTGGGGCATTATTCACTACGTTCAGTATCAGCGGAATATTTTTCTATGTTTTTTCTCACTTTTCTAGTTATTAGTAAAGCATTTCAGTGCCAGTTCATTGTGAAGACCTCACAAATGCCTGGATGCACAATCAATAATGCAAATTTATTGTATTTCTTTCAAATTTAAACTAAAAACTGATAAAGGTTAACTGAATGACATGACTTTAATTCCTGATCTGTGTCCATCAGTTATGTTAGGTATATTGGAGGAGTTTGGGATGCAGAGCTTTGCTCTGCAGTAGTAAGTACTGTGTACATTTATTATGTACTTTACAGTTTGCCTAAGATAGAGTTGGTAGGGCAAAGCTTTCTGCAGTCTCTGTTAAAATAAGCTCATCAGGTTTTAATGCAGATACTGTGTATTAAGCTGTAAACCACAACCAAGTGCAAGTGCTCCGTGCAGGAAGGAAAGAAAACGTTAAAATGAAGCTAAGCAGGTGGCTGGGTTTGGTTTTCATTTGTAGTTGAGTCTGTATTTGGAAAAAACCTGAAACTGTAAAACAAAACCAGACCTACCCCACTCCACTTTATATATCGTGTTTCTAAAACTCCTAAAGCCCTGTCACTTCACAGGACTAAATAGTATGTAGTCTCTCTCTGAAATGATGCTATGTGTGATTCTTAGCTAAAGGCAGTATTGACCTGCAACTCTCAGGAGGAAATACTACCTGTAGTACAGTTTGCCTTACCTGCCCTTACGGACATTGGGACTCAGTTTTCCTCTGATAAAATAAGGTCTTAAAAATAGAACATTTACCTCCAGCACCCTCTGGTGAGATGGTTCATGTATCTGAGCTCTGCCTGCTGCCAGTCTTCTGACAGTTGCTGCACAGCACGTTATTTTTCCAGACCACATTGGTATGAGTGATCTGCATGAGGTTTAGAGAGCCCGGCACTTGGGCATCACATCCATCCGGGCTGGGCTGGGGCCCTGCCACTCCCCTCAGCCACGCTTGGCCTGCGGCTGTCCCCCACCTAGAAGTAAAGTGCGCTCTGCCCTGAGCTGGCAGTACAATCTTAAACACACTTCTGGCTTGGAGTGAAAAAATGTTACAAACCAGCCTGAAAAGGCTGTTACCTGTGATAACGCAGCCCTGTTGCACTAAATGCACCTTAAACGAGATGGATGCTTAAATGTCACAGTTTTGTTATCTTGGGTGTTGTATAGGGTTTTTGTTAATAAAGCTCTGACCTGCCCCTGTAGAGTTCTAAATGTGTGGTTCATCTTCCTAATGTGTCCATCTCGGTCGTTTCTGAGGGAGCATTTCCAGACATGCTGGATAGAAGTGGTTTTACAGTTGCTTGGTGTAATATCCACACAGCCCAGGTTTTAAAGTTGTTTTTGCAGACCCTGCTGCTGTTCATTTTGTACTTAACGGTTACACCACTGTTACAGTTTGCCATGTTAAAAGTAAATGGGTTTGAACTTTATAAAAATTGATCGTACTTGTAAATCCAGCAGAGCTAAGCACTGCTTATGGTTCGTACTGAGCTTATGCACCTAGGAGTGATGCACCAGAGAGCAGCAGAGAGATTCAGTGTGGAATGGAATGGAACTACCTTCAAAGAACTCTTCCCATGACTCTTGGTGCTACTAAGATGAAAGCAAGCACAGATAAAGCACAGTTTCATCTATATTGTTCTCGCACCCATGCATATGGTGTAGGAATTGCTGGGGAGCAATGCTTGACAGCCCTGAATTTAGATTTCTGAAACATAACCGATTATTCATTTAATTAATGTGGTGGAATATGGGCTGGAGTAGATTTCTGAGCATCTGTGTCCCTAGAAGTTCAGATGCATCTCCACAGCAGACTTAAGGGAACAGAGGGTTGGCCATTTAAATGCAGAAAAAATGTGCTTTATTTCTCTATTGCTCAACCTATTCAGTGTTTTCCTTGAGCCTGAGCAGACCAGACCAAACCCAGGAGCTGACCTGCTCCTGAACGTGGGTTTCCAAACTTTACGCAAGAATTGCTCTTGATATGAGCCATTATTTACAGGTTTGGATGGGCTTCAGCTGCTTTGACTGCACACATCCTGCGTAACAGAGCATCTAACCCATCAGCTGTAACTAGAGACAGCCGATACTGAGAGCTTCAGGTTACCTAAGGAGAACCTCAGGTAAAACAGCTGCTACCCAAGCCTTACGTAGTCAGCACTATATAAATAAAAGTGATTCAAACTCCAGCTCACTGTTAACTTAATTGCATATATCTTTTCAGATACGAGTCTGTGGGTTTAGA